GTTCGAGAGAAACGACCTCGCAGTAGGATCCTCCTTCACCACGACAACGCCTCGTCGCACACCGCCAAGCGAACGATCGACTATTTGGCGACATCAAACGTTGAATTACTGGGTCACCCGCCGTATAGCCCCGACCTCGCGCCTTGTGATTTTTATTTATTTCCAAAAATTAAAGAAAAACTTAAAGGAAAGCGGTTTATGAATGCTGAAGAAGCGGTGGCTGCGTATCGCGATGCCATTGAAGAGACCCCTAAGGACGAGTGGGCAAAGTGCTTTTCCCAGTGGTTCCATCGCATGCAGCGGTGTATTGACGTGAATGGACAATATTTTGAAAAGATATAATAAAACTAATAACTGGCTAATGTAATCAGTTTTTGATTTTCTAAGAACTTTCAGTTTGACCCTCGTATAACACTTATATATATTTTATGGAGTGATTCGTAAACCATAGTTTTAATCTTTTAAGTATATTTGTCTTCTTGTTTAGAAGCGCTGAGACTAGTGAGCGTCTAAGCACACTGAGACTCAAGGGCGGATCCAAGGGGGTAGTCACGGGAGTCATGCTTGGCCCTCTCTGGGCTGAGTACAGGTCCTAGGTCGATTACTAATTTTTTAATATATTTTTTGTCCCAATATAGATTTTATTTTGAGTACTTTCAAAATTAAATTAATTATATAATACATTGTATAAATTATTATCAAAATTTGCTTCTTAAGCTGTATTCGCCCTTGCTGAGACCCAATTTTAATTTATATTAATGACAGACCTCTGCGCAGAGCCTGTCCAGAAGAAGAGACAAGTATCCTGGTTCTGTAACACTGCAAAGGCGTATTCCACAGACGATTGAATGTGGGGAATTCAATTCTTTGTACGCAGACACAAGCTTTTACTCTTGCTCCATAGTAGGTATGATGGCACATTCCTAATTCAATATTATTGAATTCAGTTTATTATTTTCACGTCCCGAGTGCTCGTCGTTAGGTATAGGAAATAAGCAATTTGCATAATTTCATGGAGGGGTACGAAACTCTGTAATAACGTAAACGACCCCCAATTAACAACTCTACAAACAGAACAGAACAGGTGTTATATGAAATAATCGTGTTATACTATGAATAAAGGATCTTCTTGTTATTCTATACGTGTACAATCACGTAACTTTTATCACACTTGGGATGAGCAGACGTTTATAATTTGTTTAAACAAGAGACGGATTTTAAAGCTTATCCGCGCTAGCCTAGCTCTCATAAATTTTACTGTAACCTGTATGTATACATTACATTCCATTTTTTAATTCAAGAATATATAATGATATATATTTTTCTTCTTCTTCTTCTAATTATGGTGGACACCTAGTGATCTAATCCATACGGTCTTTATTTATTTATTTATTTGCGGCCTCAGTTGTCTTCATTGTTTACTATTATAGAAATTTATAATTCAATCTGCGTCTTTTTGGATTACAATTTTCTCTTTTTTTTAAAAAAGACCTGATATATAGATGGGTCTTAAGCAGTACTCAATACTCCAACAAATTTGATAGCTCGACATCGCGCTACATGTTTGTCGGATTACTGGGATTTTACTGTGTTGCTGTAGATAAAGGTATTGTTAAGTTAAAAGAATTTTTATGTCGCAATATTTTATCAGTCATATACTGACTTTGTGTGTTTCTGCATACAATTCTTCTCAAAACATTAAAATGTTTATATTAAATGATTATCTAAATCTAAATACGTTTATTTCAGGACAGAAATTTACTTGACAACTATTTAAAGACAACAACAATAGTAGTCACTAAATCTTCTGTTGTCACTAAAACTTTGGTGTTCGACATCAGAATCTTTTTTTTTTTTGGCCTCATTGAACCAATAGGGATGACGACTGAGTACGGAAGACGGAGAAAAAGAACAGTAAGATAATAGACATTAGGGACGTTAGGGACTCGCTACGTCACAGTTTTGCAGAAAATGTGCAAAAGCGTGACGTCATGTGACATTTTAACTCAATGTATTGCAGTAATTTAATGATTACGAATACAAAAATGCGTGTTCAATATTTTTCTTTCTTGCGTAATATCTTTTTTATAAACAAAAATACAATAAATAAAATAAAATACCAACGCTATGTTTAAAGCAGCAAATACATACTCTTTGGTGATAGTGAAATAAGATTCCAGATTAGATTTCCGGTCGGGTCAATGTAAAAAATCACCTTTTCTATATTGTCTCGGGTGTAGGTGTTGTATGTGTTACCTTTGTTGCCTCACAAATTCAGACTCCATAATACAGGGGAGAAATTTGAGTTTTGTATCGCCTAACGTGCTTTTGTCTGTTCCATATCAATTTTAATTCCTTTGAGATTATCGAAATATGCGTCCATGCGGCGTGAATGAAGAAGAAATTAGACATTTGAGAATTTGTTATTAAGGAACCTGGGTATATGGTTTTAAATTCAACTGGATATCTCCACGCCTTCCCAAAAATTAGGGGACTTGACAGACGGCTAACAGCCATTCTTAATTTTTTCTTTTGATGTGTACGGAACCCTAAACGTTGAATATTACTTAAATACAGGTCAAATTGGCAACATCTGTTTTTGTAGTTGGTTAAAAAACGGGAATAAAACAATTATGGTCAGTAGGTAATTTCCTATGCTTTTTGAGTAAAACCAGGAGACATAGTTGTTCCTTTATTTCCTAGTTTTCTACTATAGGTAAAATGTGTCGTCTGCGCTGTCACATTTCTTTCACCTATACAGTACATGGAATCTTATCTTGACAAGGCTGTTTACCCTAAGCGTCTTGGCATTTTAATAGAAACACAGCTGACTCCCTGAAGGGGAACAATCAGCCAGATAATAGTAATTGTAACTATTTTTATAGTGGCCAGTATCATTTACTTCTTGCATCATGAAGGTATATAAAAAAAACAAAAAGATTATAATGTTATCTTTGACAAGGTGCCTTTAAATTATTTCAATATTGCCTTTTTACTAGATATTTTAGATCTTGGAATATTTGAATTTAAATAATATTCACGACATATATCAAAGAAAAAAGTGCCTATGACTCCGTAGCCGCAGACATGTAATGTCCACTGCTCCTATGGTCATCAACCAAGGTGTTTTAACGTTCCTTTTCCAACTAATATCACATCCTTGTAATATTCGCAACGTTGTGAGTTAGGTTTCGCACTCCAGATAATTAACAAATAGAACAATTCTATAAATTTTTCTATAAATTAAAATATTTCTTCCGGCTGTTTGGATTGATTGCCTGACCATTGATCAAAATACGCTCTGTAGTAACCAAGAAGTAACAAGTGATTAAAAAATTCGGCAGCCCTGTTAGGTCCTGGGTAAGTCAGTGGTTAGAGCAGTCGCCCAGATTGCGGAAGGTCGTGGGTTCGAATCCCATCTCGGAGTACCAGGGACAAAGTGGATTTTATGAGCATTTTTCATTACGGAAATAAAACACAATTTTTAATCCAGTTTCCATTTTATTGACGAAATGTCGTATCGTATAATTTTAAATAATTACAACGACTCATATATCTTACAAGCTATAGGTACATTTACCGCCGACGACCACGCACTGTACCTAGTTATAATAAATATTAACATTTAAACAATCATAGTTATTAAACGAATATAATCTTTCATGATTATATTCGTTTTTATATTTTCTTACATTTATTGGCCAGCTACAGAAAAATATGCATCTATATTTAATTAATAAAATTTATACGTTAAATTCCTTTCTTTATTGGATAACACGAGAAGCGTGATAAATTATTTGTTTTCATTTGATTATTTTTTGTTATAATGTTATCTGCTATTTGTTATAGTCTATTAGGTCGGGACAAAAATAGCCAGAGCTTTCTAAAGCTTGATATTTCAGCTTGAGGAAGTACTAAGGGTACTCACTCAGTATACAGTGCGGAGGTCAGGTCAGGACAATGTAAACTACTAAAAATCGTAACACATATGCATGATTCTTTTTAAAAGTTTACAATTAGCGATAAACTTTTATAAAAACGCGGCGACTCAGCAGATTTCAGAAGATGGTGTTAAATTGAGCTCCAAAAGAGTTTCGTAATTGTTGAAAGTTAATTTATTACAAATATATTAGTTATTAGTTCATAAAAAAATATACTTTCATTTAAAGAAACAAACATATTCAGTAATCGCTCGAAGTTTGTTTCGTGCCGCACATGAGATCTAGGTACTGAGTGAAGTATACCTCTAGTATTTCAACATACTGAAATATCAAACTTTAGAAAGGTCCTGCACATTTTCGTCACGAACTCTCCCTCTATTATGTGAGTGCGTGCGTGTCGGCGTGCGAACGCGCTCGACGGCTAGCTCCCAGCCTGTACTAGCCAGCGGGCGCGGTCTCTTCTATACACTCATGAACTCCTAGTACCAGAACACAACAGAGATTCTAATAATAATATAAGAAATATAAAATAATAATCTTGTTCAGTGAGAAAGAATTCATAAGTCAACATAATATCGAAAACTTGAATTTCCAGTAATTATTATATTTGTTAATGAACAAGAAAAGGCGTAAAACTATAATTATAAATTGTAATTTCCAATTAGGTAAAGATAATAAAATGCATTCTGGTACATTTTGTCCTTGGGCGTTTAGAGAGAGTAAATAAAACTAGTTATAATCTAATTTATCCTAACTCCTGTCTAGTAAGTCTCGTCACCTTCTAGAGACAATTATAATTAAATAAGTAGTAAATATTTGGGAAGTGACCGTCAGAGCGCTATATAAAAATTAAAGACGATAGGGATGCGGAGTACAATAGCATGTGTACTATAAAAAGTATTATTATGAATCATATTTAAACTAAATATCTTAAATATATTCAGTACTGATCTTGTAGTACGGTGCGATCTGCCGGTCGCTTCAGTTCCTTTATCTATCATTAAATCACAGCGGTAGGTCACACAGTCGTAGGAGAAGAAAATATACAAGTTATAGGAATCATTCCTCCTCTCTTAGTTCGCGGCTCTCTTCCGGTCTCCTGTATCGAAGAAAAATAATATTTTTAAGGTATAATTTCAACTTACAAACACACAAGATTTCTTTAGACGAAAGCTCACTTATGCCCATTTTCACTAAATTTAGGAATCTTCAAACGTGAATATGCATTTCAACAATGACTTAGAACATTCGTTATGCGGCTTATAAATCTTTTTTAAAATTACACTAATCTGCTAAGGCGAGTCGGGAGATCAAGCGTTTTCAAGATATGCCTTGTTCTAGGTTAGTGAACATGGGTATAAGCTATGCAAATTTAAACAAAAATATATATTTATTTTAAAAGATACTCCTTTGATGCGATCGTCTATTCATGACTCTTCTGTAACGCCCTAAAGATACCAATTTTCAATAACGCAATGAATGAAATGACACAAAATTATAGCGCCACTTATTACTTGAAACAAAATCCATAGTAAGATTCTATACACCACCGTAGGATACGACATCTTATTATAAAAGATACCTATCTAAGTAAAACTAGAAGTGGTGCAATTCATGCAATTTATTCTTAAAATAACTGACAAAAGAAGTAGAATGGTACCTGTTGCTGTACTGGTAGTTAGTGAGCGTCGGGATGGGGGCTGGAGCGGGGGCGCAGCGGTACAGCGCGCCCCCAAGCGGCGCGCACAGCAGGGGGCGCGCAAGTGTTCCGGGAGGCTCCGACCTCTTGCCATACCTACTGCCCATGAAGAACCTGTTCACACACACCCATCTTACCTTTGGCTCTTGCTATCCGCAAATATAATCTTTAATGAGTAGGTACTAATACAAGTTCGAGAATAGCGTGTTTTAGGTGTTATGGCATAGTTAGATTCGACATACTTCATTAATGAAATGATGCACTAATAAGTAGATAAATAAATATCGGACAACATCACACACATTGTTCCGATTCCGAGGTAAGTAGCTTAGGCACTTTTGTTACGGATACCAGAAACAATGGGGAGAATACAAATATATACATAATATAAATAGAAAACACCCAGACACAAAACCGATATAATTGTTAATCACAAAAGTGTTTGTCCTAGGTGGGGATCGAACCCACGACTCTCGGCGTAGTAGTAGGAACGCTACCACCGCGCCATTTAACTGAGATCTACATAAGTTTCCTATCAAAGATCTATTTATCTATAGCCACGATTCCCTGCCACTCATATCGTGCATTAGTTTTAAACAGAAGAAATATTTCTTTCGGCTGTTTGGATGGATTGCGTGAACATTGTTGAAAGTACGCTCATTAGTAGTTTCGCTACTGAAATAAGTGCTTCAAAACTCGTCAGTCTTGTTAGGTGCTGGATTGCTAAAAGTCGGGGCTTCGAATCCCACCTCAGAGAACCTAGGGCTGGTCGATTTTTGAAGCGTTTTTCTTAAAACTATAAAATCAAGATTTGTATTAAGAGTTAACAAAGATTTTCAAAATATTCCTCAAACCCTTGCCTTTGATGTAGGGTACCTGTCATTCCTCGGACTGATGAGTCTTGGTTGTGATCTGCCATACCGGGAGCCCAGCACAAACGGCATCGGTGACACTGCCAACAAACAAGTGGTCAGTAAACTCTGAACTGAACTGACAAACATTATGAATTCCCAGGAAACCATAAACTATGGGTAGCAACAAAAATATTCAACGTAATAATAGCATTTTAATGGAATCTCGATTACTTACATTATGCCATTGACTATCTATCTGAAGTCCTTGGAATATTACTAATATTATTGGACTTTAAAGTCAGGGGTGTCGAACTTAATTTTGCAGAGGGCCATATATTAAATTTAGAATGTGTAGGCGGGCCAGATTGAAATAAAAAGAAATGTACTGAAGTTTTATAACATGTAATTTATTTAATTATATTGTAGTATATAATACACGGTTGTTAATAATCAACCAAAAGTTATAAAAGAGAATAATTATTTTGAGATCGAAGTTCCAGATACCTGAATTCTCTTGTTTTAGACAAGCGCATTGATGTCAGGTATCATATTCGTTGTAATTATCGGAATCGAATGAAGTCCAGAAGCACTAAAACAGATGATTCTTCTTTCTGTGACACATTGCGATCGCGGGCCTTATTGATACGGTCCAGGGGCCGGATGCGGCCATTGGGCCTTATCTTGGACATGACTTATTTAGGTAGATAACACAATAGAAAATGAAAGTCTACTTGTCCTCGAACGTGATTATTACTTAAATATTAGCATAATTAGCCTGAAAAGTACGCCGCTGGATATTCGACGATAACTTCTTTAAATTAACAGAAATACATATCTCATAAAAGCGGCCAAACCTGGAAAATTTTCTGTAGATGGAACATCATTTTTTTATGATATTTAATTTAAAATATGACTGAAAATGTTCATATTATATTATCATCATTAACCCTCGACTTATAATATAATATTAATAATACTGGACACAAAAAACGACACCATGTCTTTTCATTGTGTAAACCAAGCGGTGGTACTCACTGAACTCGCTCTCAGTTCTCTTCCCGGCGACGGTCTCGTCGGCGGCCACCAGCACCAGCAGCGCCAACAGCGCTAGGGCGCAGGCGCACAGCAGCGCGCGCGCACGCTCGCACCGCACACACATTGCTGACACGCACGTACACACACAGCACGTGCGCTCCTGCTACTGCAAACAACACCCACACTCCCACTCACATGGTGGCCTAATTTCAAAAACTGTAGCAATACTTTTTAAATGTATAGCGATTGTGATAGCACGTTATGAAATCTTGTAATTTTTAAAGTCTCATTCGCTTTTAGAACGAATAAAGATATTTCGTACAATATCTGCAAAAACGTCGCAAAATCAAGTAAAATAGTTGTACCGTGAAGTTCTTGAATATATTTCAAATGTCAAATTTGAAGGGATTATTTTCGATTTCGACAGATCTTAAAACTAGGCAAGAAGCCCCCTTTTTATCTTTAATTATTCTAATGCCACAGCCTTCTCCATGAACAGAGAACGATCCACAATCAATCACGTGTCTCAGATCTTTATCAACGATTCAACGGCTACAGATGTATGGAGAATTTCCAGAGAATAAGTTTTGGTCAACCATCCCATACCCGATTTTTTTGGTCTATTATTTGAAAGGTTTTTCAATGTAGATATAACTGTATTTTTGCGAAGTCGAAAGTTTTGTCTATTCCGAAATGCTAATGATGCAATGGAGGAAAGATCTGACACTGCCTCTGATGCACAGACAATGTTCACGGATCTCGTTTAAAAAAAAAAGTATAGTTTTTGAATAAAAACTATTTGAATTTTTTCCGAATTTTCGTTCGAACACAAGTAGAATAGTCCCTCACCTGTCATGTTAATTCGTACGAGTTATATAAATAATACCGGAGATTAAAAACTCAACAAAGATTCTATTGAGATGTCATTATTACGTAAACAGAATAGCAGAAATGGCCTGCAGTACCTACTCGATAGCCGATACAAAATAAAACAAAACGTGATTTGCCTAGAGTGCGGATTCCGGACTCAAACATCCGGCGGCCGGGACTTGCTGTACTGTAGCGGGAATAAGAAAGGGCTCCGTTAAAAATACTGCCTTCAGATTTAATGAGAATTTTATGTCGTTTCAAGTTTTATAAAAAATATATGGTGGAAATTTAGCTTCACAAACTTTTAGTATTAATATTATCAAACTAAAGTTATGTATACAACTAATATGAAAGTAAAAAATTATTATATGTATTACAGTACACAGCAGTATAATTTATATAAATTTCTCATTTCATTTAGAGTAGAACAACAGATTTGAGATAAGAAGCTCTATTACAATTTCATTTAAATATATATTGAAATGGGAGTATTGTCATTGTTAGGCAAGTGATTGCAAAGAAATTATTTTAAGAAAACTGTCTCATTCTCACTTTAAATAAACCGGTTGAAATCTCGCAATATAAAAATCCAATAGTAAACACATCCCTACGATGTTTAAAAGGCCAATTTGTTAACATGGACTTGGGACGTGGTTCTAACGTCAGCGATGAATATATGATGTGTAAAAATAAACAAAAATTATTATATTCATGTTTGCATTTTATGAAATTTACTCCGCGTAAAAGATATTATTTTGTAAAAAATAGTTTTTATCGTCTAACAACTAACAGCTTAAAACCTAAAACAATTAATTGTACATCAAAACATAATGTTCTCACAGTAATATTTCAATGATATAAATATTAAATCAAACTTCATTATTACTGCAGTATCGGATACTGCAGTAATAATGAATAATGAAGTAATAATCGAGGTTGGCCCCGATATTGATTTCGTTGATTCCGCTACCACTCATGACGTGCCCCAGCTTTTATCGGGCAGTCATTGCGAGTAGTGACATGACTCATTTTAATTCCACTAATCGAGACGTTTCAAGTAATGCACTTAAGATTGAAAATAATTAAACGCATTCTAGTGAAAAATTATGCATTGGTTTACACGGTTCCTTAAGAAGTAGTAAAATCGTAGTCAAACAATTTCGATGTTAATGAACATGAAAATTAAAATAATCGATCGTTTTAATCGCATTTACTTTTTAAGTTAGCTTGTGGATTCTGGTTCACAAAGTGATTATATTTCCGCCTCTTATAGTGACAACTTTCGCTCCCAATTTATAATATAACCCGCTATTCGGAATTTCAAGATACACAAGAAAATACGCAAAAAGTAATAATTAATTTCTCGTCGCGTTTTAACTCACGCGAATATTCTATACTTCCTATGATAGTCAAACCTAGTACCTCACAGATGCCCGACTCGTGCATCGATGCCGCAACTTTTGATTTCATTCGTAACTTACCACTCGCCGATAATGAGTTCTCAAAACTTCTTAGTTGTGTAATCTATAGAATACTTTGTCAAATTTTATTGTGAAATTTTACTTTCTTATAAAATTAAAAGCTCGTATAAGGGAATGCCCTTCGCCTTTGCAACGACTTTATGTTACCTAATTATTGGAGACGCTCCTAAAAAAACTCCGCAACCCGCTACTCGCACACGTGGTGCTTTTCCTGATCAGAAGATCACCTCCTCCACCTCAGAATTTTTTTTTACACATGTTACCTTTAAGTTTTTGACCAAACTCAGTAGCAGGTAACACGGTTATGATAGAAGTTTTACCAAGTTGAAAAAGAAGTAACTCGGATAAAAAATATGTTTTTGTTCAAACCGAACACAGAAATCTTACCATTTTAGGTGATTTAAAAAAAGAATGACCTAGGAATAGTAAATGAGCGGATGATTATGGAATTCAAAATGAATTAAATTGTTGCGGGTTGAGTAAGTAATATAAATGGAATGAATAAGGTAAAAAGTAAGGAAATGCGTAATATGAGACGTCATAGGATGAATAAAATTTACAATCACGTGAACATTGGACTACTCCATCTAATCCTAATATTGTTTATACCTCCCTCCAGGCTTACAATATCCTTTAGATATTGTTTATATCCTGGTAAGGATAGTTATTCGCGTTGCGGAAGTAATTTTTTTTTTGCTTCAATATAACAAGAATTACAATAGATAATAAGCATTTAAGTCGAGGAGTGGGGGCTCGCTACGTCACAACTATGTAGAAAATTTACAATGTTTACGCAAAAATGATAAAAAAATACGTGTGTAATATTTTTCATAGTCCACATAATCCACAAACAAAAATTAGTCATAAATTAAACAACTTTCTAACGGTTTCATCGCGTTTGTATTTAGTTTTATTAACGTGATGAAACCGTTTAAAAGTTGTTTTATTTATGGATAGTGAGCGTGAAAATATAAGAAATCAATCGAGTTGTTTTTTATCCAATCACAATCGTCTGGAACAAAAAACTTGAATAATATAGAAACTTCTTGGTCTGAAATGACCGGCACTGACATTTTAGTTATTATTTTTTCTTAATAAAAATCAGCTTTTATTTTCGTTGCTAAATAAGATTACCTTTGATTGATTACCTTCATATTCAAATGAACTATGAATATATTAATAACAGTGCATATAGACTATTTATTGTTACATTTTATTTTAAGTCTTTAAATAAATATTTCAAAAACATTCAATATTAATTTATAACTAATGACCGTTTAGCATTTAAACGTTCACAGACAATTTGAGATTTTGTTTTTCATTTGTGTAGGACGATCTGTATAGATTGATACTTTTAACTATAATTACACGCGTAAAAATGAAATAAAGAGACGCTCTTTAAATGATGATCGTAACACCGCCGCCATTTTGACTTTTAAATGTTTCTCTTAATGAACTTTGTGGAAGTAACAGTGGATAAGTGCTACGTAGTATAAGTTATACTTACTAAAATAATGTAAAGCTTTAGAATAATCCGTGCATAGATAAGACATCAACGCGTTACAGAATTAATTTCATCTAACATTTATATGGAATAAGTTTTTTTATCGTTCCATCTTTAATTACACTTTTACTAATAATCACATTGCAATATATTAAAGTTAAAAAAAAATGTTTAAAATACTTGTCCTAATTTATTAAAGAAAACAAATGCCTTGACATATTTTATTAAAACTTTTAAATTGTATATTATCTCCTTTCAATTTACAATAATGATAATAACGCCATCTTTATGATGTCTTTATATTTGAAGAAATGTAAAGGTAATCAGATAACTCCTAATTTTATGTAGATCAGTTTCTCTATTTCACTAGTTACCAATTCTTTGATAAATAAATAAAATTACTATCTACTGTTCCAACACTTACTCAAAAAAATATTATTATTTATTTTTTGTCCATCAAACTAAATAACACGTAACATATGTTTGATATTTTGACTTTAAAACTTAATTATATTTATCACATAATTATAATTACGATCTTTGTAGATATGCAAAAGCTTATGTTTACATAGGTACTTACGTTGGTTGTCAGCGTCGGCGTCCCGGCGTAGAGTGAGTCCTAAGATGAGTTTCCTCCTTTATATGCGGTGGGAGGCGCCCGCACTCCCACACCCTCGGTAGGGTACGCAACTTTCATGTTTTTCCGGATCTTCAACTGATTTTAAAATTCTCTAATTTTAAAAACGATAGCAATTGCTTTCAAGATGACATTTGAAATATATTCACGAACTTCACGCTATAAATCTGGATCACAATATATATAAACACAATATATTTGGAATGTGGTACCGAATGCGATTTTTAAGATAATGGATGAATGATATTGTTAATTTAACGTTAATTAGAAAAAAACCGTAGCGACGCAAATATCATGGGAAACATCAAACGAATGCAATAGGCAACCTTCCTACCGGAGGTTAGGCTTAGATTAGATTGTTGCTTGGTCATTCGAATCAAGATTCGTTCCTAAGTCGATTGTGACTTTAAAAGTTATATAATTCCATCAATCGCTATCACAAGCATTAAACCTTTAAAAGGTATAGCAATAGATCTTAAATAAAGATAATCAGTCTACTTGTTGACTAATGGTATTTTATTTTTTTATACTCAAAGATCAAAGCAAGAATTCACACGAAAGTTAGGTTCTTTATGCTATATTGTTTACCTTATAGAAATTCACTATAGGCCCATTTCGGGGTACCTACGTGA